AGATGTTGAGGTACAGGTATAAATCTCACTTGATAGTGGAGTATGATCCTTTTAACAGTTTGCTGTATTCGATTTGCCAGTATTTTGTGGAGGATTTTTGCATCTATGTTCCTAAGCAACAGTGGCCTGTAATTTTCCTTCTTTGTTTTGTCCTTCTCTGGTTTTGGTATCAGGATGATGCTGGCTTCATAGAATGAGTTAGGAAGCATTCTGTCTTCTTCACTTTTTTGGAATACTTTGAGAAGGATAGCTGTTAAATCTTCTTTGAATGTTTGGTAGAATTCTACGGAGAAGCCATCTGGTCCTGGACTTTTGTTTTTGGGAAATTTTTTATTACTGCTTCAATCTGTTTCCTTGGGATTAGTCTATTCAGATTCTCTATTTCTTCTGGATTCAGTTTTGGGAGGTTGTATGAGTCTAAGAAGTTATCCATTTCTTTTATGTTATTCACTTGGTGAGCATATAGTTTTTGATAGTATTCTCTTATAATCCTTTGGATTTCTGTACTATCCATTGTAATTTCTCATCTTTCATTTCTAATTTTATTTATTTGAGCCTTCTGTCTTTGTTTTTTCGTGAGCCTGGCTAAGAGTTTGTCAATTTTATCTTCTCCAGGAACCAGCTTTTAGTTTCATTGATCCTTTCTATTGTTTTTTTCATTTTAGTCTCCATTTCTTTATTTCTGCTGTAATTTTTATTATTTCCCTCATTCTGCTGACTTTGGGCATCACTTGTTCTTCTCTTTCTACTTCTGTTAGATGTACTTTAAGATTACTTATTTCAGATTTTTCTTGCTTCTTCAAGTGGGCCTGTGTTGCTCTGAATTTCCTCTTAGAACTGCTTTTACTGTATTCCATAAGAATTGACATGTTACGTTTTCACTTTCCTTTGTCTCAAGGTATTTTTAAATACTTCATTGATGCAGTGGTTGTTCAATAGCATGTTGTTTTGTCTCTACATATTTGTGACTTTCCCAGCTTTTTTCTTGTAGCTGATTTCTAGTTTCATAGCATCGTGGTCGGAAATGATGCCTGATATGATTTCAGTCTTCTTAAGTTTATTGAGGCTTGCCTTGTTTCCCAACATATGGTCTATCATTGAGAATGTTCCATGTGCACTTGAGAAGAATGTGTATTCTGCTGTTTTGTGATGGAATTTTCTCTCTATATATATATCTATTAAATCCATCAGATCAAGTGTTTCATTTAAATCCACTATTCCTTGTTGACTTTCTGTCTGGGTGATTTATCCATTAATTTAAGTGGGGTGTTGAAGTTCCCTAGTATTGTGTTGCTGTTAATTTCTCCCTTTAGGTCTGTTAATAGTTTTTATATGCTTTGGTGCTCCTGTTTAGGTGCATATATATGCATAAGTGTTATGTCCTCTTGGTGGAAAGTCCTTTTTCCCATTATATACTGCTCCTCTCTCTTTCATTGTCTTTTTTATGTTCAAGTCTGTTTTGCCGGATATAAGTATGGCAACACTGGCTTTCTTCAATTTGCCATTTGCTTCAAGTATCGTCTTCCATCCTTTCACTCTGAGTCTATGTTTGTCTTTAGAGCTGAGATGTGTTTCCTGGAGGCAGCATATCATTGGGTTTTGATTTTTAATCCATCCAGCTACTTTGTGTCTTTTGATTGGAGAATTCAGTCCATTTACATTTAGAGTGATTATTGATCTATTTGGGCTTAATACTGAGATTTTATCTCTTGTTTTCTGATTATTCTATGTTCCCACTGTTTCTCTTCCTTTGTATTTCTGACTGCCATTTCATTCTGGTGGTTTTCTGTAGAGACTCTCTCAGTTTTCTCTTTATGAATTGTGGCTCTGCTCTGATGTTTTGTTTAGTGATTACCATGTGGTTTTTAGCAATGATGTCATAGATGAGCTCATCCCTTTTCTGATAGCTTCTTATCTCCATTAACTTAATTAAGTTCCATCCCTTTCCTCTTCTGAATTATTGTTGTCAGAAATTATTCTGTTTTGTGTTGTGAGTTTGTGACTAAGTTGAAGTGTTTATAGTTCCTTTTGATGCTTTCCTTCCCTTTATCTTTTAATTTATAGATAACTGTTTGCTTTACTGTTCTAAAAGAAAGCTGCAGTTTTTTGATTTTGCCTGTCTATTTTACTTGTTGCTCAAAGCTTTGTAGATGTTGGCCTTTTTGTTTCAGGTCTGAAGGCATGCTTAATCATTTCTTAGGGGCAGTCTAGTGGTGATGAACTCCCTCAGCTTTTGTTTATCTGGGGAAGCTTCTATTTCTCCAACATATTTGAAGGATACTTTCACTGCATCCAGTCATCTGGGCTTAACGTTGCTTGTCTTTCAGTATTTTGAATCTATCATGCCATTCTCTCCTTACTGGTAAGGTTTCGGCCAAGAAATTCACTGAAAGCCTGATAGAGGTTTCTTTGTAGGTTATTTTCTTCTACCTTGCTTCCCTTAATATTCTTTCTTTGTCAGTAACTTTACCAGTTTGAGGACTATAAGCCTTGGAGAAGGTCTTTTAAGCATTGATTTAATTAAGAGTTCTATTGCCTTCGTGGACTTGTAAGTCCAGTTCCTTCCCCAGGCTTGGGAAACTGTCAGCTTTTATTTCTTTGAACAAGCTCTCTGCTCCTTTCTCCCTCTCATTTCTCTCTGTAATACCTGTAGTCCTTATGTTGCTTTTCCAAATTACATCACATATTTCTCGAAGAATTCCTCCATTTTTTAAGAATCTTACTTGTCTCTCCTCCTCCACCTGAAGCATTTCTATATTTCTATCCTCTAAATCACTAAGTCTTTCCTCCATGACATCATCTCAATTTTGAAAGCATTCTGGATTATGTTTTATTTAATTAATTGTATTCTTCATGTCCAGCATTTCTGCTTTTTTAAAAATAGTTTCAATCCCTTTGGTGAAGTATTCCATCTTCTCATTAATTTTATCTTTGAACTCATTGAACTATCCTTCTGATTTTTCTTGCAACTCGTTGAGTTTCCTTATGACAACTATTTTCTAATCCATGTCATTTAGATTGTCCATTTCTGTTACTTTAGGCTTGGATTCTGGAGAATTGTCATTTTCTTTCTGCTCTGGATTGTTGCTGTAGTTTCTCCTGGTGTTTGATGAAGTAATCTTCATCTGGCACTTTTGTGGTAGCATCAGTTGGCAGATTTCACCTGCTACCGCTGGGAGAGAGCAGGAGTTGAATTGCTGATCCCACCCTCTCTGCTGGAACTTGTGGGGGTACAATGGGTGCTGGAGCTGGCTGGGAAAGTGTTCACACGGGTTCATAGACCTGCCATTGCCTCCTCTTAAGCTCACTGTGCTTGGTGGCTCGGGCTTCAGTGGCACATCCAAGCCTGGCCCACTCCTTGGGACCACAGTGGCATGGTGGATTCTCCTAATGAATGGGAAAACAATCATGTGCGGGCTGTGTATCTAGTTTTAAATAAATGTTATATTTCCCATGGAGTTGTCATGGGCACTAAGAAGTGGCACTGTCTGAAAAACGTAGTGTAAATGTTTCATAGAATGTTCATAGGGCAGCTGGAATATTCCCAAATTCAAATTTGTATAAAAGCGCCACTCTGAATTCCAATTATTAGGGCTTCATTTTAAAGTTTTCCTTAGTATTAATTAGCTTTTAAGATGTTTCACAGTTGTCCATATTCTGACTCACAGTGACAGTATATATGACCTCTTATATGTGCCTGGATTCTGATAGGGTGGGCCCAGTACTTTTGCTCTTTAAAATTAGATTGTTCTTTTCATATAATTTTGGTTCAATATGTCAATCAAGGAAAGATGTAAATTAAGAACCAATAATCAGATCTTTGACCATTGTCGTAGTTATGTTCATAGCCTCTGAAAGTCAAAGTTTGGAGATGGAACAGAAAGCATAAAAGGGCCCTTATTGTATGCTTGCCGGAAAAGAAGACGTTAAAACTGATCAGCAGTATTCTGAAACAAATAGCCAGGAATTCTGAAAGAAGTAGCCACCCTCAGATTTCCCTCATGGGTGTTCCTCAGTCATATGTTGTAATTCACATCCCGTCAATGCTGGCTCTACAGTCTGTGTTCCTGAAGTCATCTGTTCCCAGACCCTGGAGTCCTGGAATCCCGGGAGGAATCACCGAAGGCTGGCTCCCGACCCCCATAACCCATGACATGGCACTCTCAAGCTGTGAAGAATGTTAAGAATATAGAGGTGGAATTAACATGCTTCATATTTTCTTCATGTGCTCAATTATTGGACCCATGTGGTGTGGTAAACTGATGAATAAATAAGAGGATTTAATCTTGGTTTTACATAGGGAAAGAGTTATCAATATGAATACAGTTTTAACGTCTTCTTTTCCGGCAAGCATACAATAAGGGCCCTTTTATGCTTTCTGTTCCATCTCCAGCAGCCAAAAAGACAGAAGGTCAATTTGATTCTTCTGAATTTGGGACTCAGTACCATAAAATAGCAACATCAAAGAGCTGTTGCTCTACATCAGTACAGGTTTCTGAGGATTAGCGTGGTCACGGTGATGGCCACGTTATTAATCAAACGAACTTTCCTTTACATGGCACAGCAGAAGGGAACATAAGAAACATTCAGCATTTTCAGGTGTTTTTAGAAGTGAGGAATCTCTTATCATTCTATTCATTTGCTTATAATTGTCTATTGTTTTAATATTTCCAAGAATGGCAAAAAAGCTCGTAAGCGGATCGAGCCCATTAAGATTACTCATTTCACTTAGGTGAGATAATAACTCTCTACCATTGGGTAGAACAGGCAGAAAGAAATAATGACTTTTTAGTGAATCATGTTGAAAACAGACTGTTATCGAAAGATCATTTCTCTTCAAAGCTAACAATTTTTCCCTCTGTGATACATATATCTTTAAAAAATTATCAATTTTAATATATGTCAATATGTAGGAATTTTAAATGTGCATGCATATATACAGTTTTATTATCACAAATGAAAATCTAAAGCTTTAAACTTTAGTATTTAAAATATAATTTTATCAAGCATGAGACAATATTCCTAGTACATTGATTTCAACCACTTAATTTGAATGACATGAAGAAAAAATGTGTCTCTATAGACAAGAAAATGTAAGCAACAACAACTGTTGATGAGGGACTTTCACTCTGTGTTTTTAATCAAATTAATCTCCTCAGGCTGTTCCATTCAATTCCTTCCGTTCCATATCAGTCTAGGGGAAGGTGTTTTGGAGCACCAGCTTGGCCTCCTCCATTCATTGATCAATGAACAACGTTTCTGCTCTGCTATTCCGATCTGGGTCTTGCTCTCTTAGCACCAGTGGCTCCGGGCAGAAGGACCCACTTGTAGGTTACTGGCCCCTTGGGGCTCGGTAAGAAAATATGGTGACTGGCAGAATTGGAATAGTCTCTGACTCCTCTCTTTGATTCTGGCCTCTCAGCTCCCAACACATGAAGCGGTGGGCTGCGGAAGCTTGTCCCAGGCTGACTCACCCACCTTGTTGGAGGCCTGCAAACGGGAGGGAAACCAGGACTGTCCTGCCTGGTGTTTGACCACTGGACTCTCCCCACTGTTACTATGTCTGGCACCAGTGACCACACTTAGTCTTTTGTCTTCTGCCGCTTGGTTCGAGTCAAGGGGGATCTCCTTCGAGCCAACATAAGGTCTACCTTCTGTTTGGCATCACAACAGCGTGTGTGCGCACACGCAGGACTGAGCAAGAAGAGGGGCTTCTCCCCAGAAACAGACTGAGGGAGCCGCTCTCCCCAGGAAGGGTTTTGCCCGCCCCTTGAGGGAGCCCCTCTCCTGAGGACTGGTACCCACTTGGCGAGGAACCGACTGGGTGAGGAATCAGGGATGCCTGATCACCCCAGGTCAGTTGGGGGCACCCAGCCCTCACAGCAAAGATGCCTCAGTGGGAGGTTCTGAGGGGGTGTTGGAAGCTGGTAAGAACAGCTGTGGGGATTTTTGTTCTGTCTTTGTCTTTACACTAACGTTCTTCCACTAGGACCGGCTGGGAGGGATGGACTTTGTATGAAACGACTACATCTTATGCCTCACTGTATTTTGAATTATTCTGTGGCGATAAACATTGTGTCTCACTGGGGAAATGTTTCCTTTGCCTGATATTGTGAGGGCCTACAAATCCACCCTTCAGGAATTGGTAGCTAATCATGGCAAAGGAGATCTCACTTTAAAATAGTCAGACTGACAGCAAAAACAGCTATCAAAAGGATCCTTACCACAAAAAGAGAAGAATCTAGGGATCAAGATAACTCGGGATAATTTAAAATTACAGTGGCCATTTTGAGGCTCCTTTGAGTCTCCAGAACTTACACGTTGGTTGTTAGAAGGAACATTCCAGTCAGGTAAGATCTTTTAAGAAGCTCACTTAGTAAGTCATGGCTTCCACGGACACCCCTGTAATCTACCTTCCTTCGAAGGAAGACCCCATACGAGGCCCTCCCATGGTTAACAAGACTGAGAGATTTTCTGGGAAACTGCTACCCTTAAACAGTGAAGGGGAAACTAAAATTAAAAAAAACAGTATATGGAGTTGTTTAATGCTGTCAGGAATAATTTCAGTTTGTCCCAGCTGAAAGTTGACAAGGTCTTTGAAAGGATTTGATAAGTTATGGTCAGAAATTTGGCCAAATTGGAAGCTGATGTTTAAAATCAGATAGGAATTTTTTTGAGCTTCTTCCTGAAGTTAAGGTAAAACTATGTATCCAGAGGGAAAGAAGCAAACTAAAGGTAATGTAATTGGATGGGTGTGTCAGTCCTTTGATGAGGAAACTCCAAGCCCTCCTGACTTCTCCTGTGAGCCCCTCTCAGACCTGAAGCTCTTAGTCTGGAGACACAAGAACAGGTCCTTGCTGGGCTGGCTTTTCACCCCCATGGAGGTGCTGGGACTCCTTCCTCCGTCATCTCTCATGAGTATATTTATCCCCACCCTGACCCGCACTGTCCCTGGAGTGCCTGGGTCTGCAGCACCACGAGGCTGCAAAGAAAGGCTAGCGGGTGAAATGGAAAAGGCCAACCAGACCTAACAAACCAGATCTGCAATGGGGTTCGACAGGCTCTTCCCAGCCTGACTTGGTTTCTACCACCTTTGGGGCCTCTCGGGACTATTTTGAATCTTCCACTCTTTGGGCTTTGCGTCCTAAATGCGCTGGTTTCCTTTGTAAGCCAACAACTAATGAAATTTCAAATGGTATTAACTCGGGATATGAGAGGTTGAGAGGCCAACTGGATGACAATCAGATGGATCTAAAAGTTGCCGGGGCTAAGTTCTACTTCTCTATGGCCCCTATTACAGGACCCCTGGTCAGCTGGAAGTCGTCACAAAAGATGTCACTTCATCCATTGCCCTTCAAGAATGAGGAGCAGGACACAGTCAGAGGAGGGATTTTGTGACCCAGGGAAGTCCCTAAAACAATTTCCACGTCTAACACTTTGGTGTTAAGTTATGGTCATAGGAACCAGGGCACAGCAATGCCAGGTGGCCAGACAGGAGAAGCAGTCCAAACCAGAAAGTTCCAACATGGCGATGGGGTGCAATGCACAAAGGAAATGTGTGCCAAAGGTGCCATGTGCAAGAAAGGAAGATCTGTGCATGCCCCAAATGCCCCCTCCCCGGGCGATGACTTGGACCCTGCGCCCTTCACATCCCGTAAGAACCCAGCTCAGCTTCTTCCAGGAGAAGCTGTTTTGCAGCATGAGCTCTGCCTCCTCCATTCATTGATAAAGGAGTAATGTTTCTACTCAGTCATTCCAAAACTATGTATCAATATCATCCTAACTTTGGAAACCAAGGAAGGAATCTTGGGATTACAGATTTTATCCATGTCCAAGGCTAATATAATCATGTTGAAATTAAAGAGACCTTCAAAATGGCCACTACGTTTCAACACAGAGTTCTGAAAATGTGTGCGGGGGCTGCCTCTCAGCACAGACCCCATAGTCGGGTGGTGGTGGCAGGTCTGAAGCTGACTGGTGGCCCCTGAGTCACAGGTCTGTTGGAGCTCTGACTCACAGTTGGGGGACTCTGCCAGACACAGAGGGGTTCAGGTGCTCAGTGGCTAAAACGAATGACAACTGTCAGCTGCATGTCACAAAGGAGCAGTGATTTTGTCCCCTCATAAGCAGCTCAGAGGGAGGCAGTTCTAGATCGGGGCAGTGTCAAGACTGTCATCAAAGGGTGTCTGTGTAGCATGTTGACTTGTTGCCTAATGGGCCCAAGAGGGCACTCCCGGCCAGCACATCTAGGTTCAAGACAGGAAGAAGGAACAGAGCTGTGCCAACGGTGTCCCTTTCCCCTTTGATCAGGGAGCTAGAAGCTTTTCTAGAAACCACAGAGATCCACTTAAATCCCGTTGACCAAACTTTTGTCAAGAGAAGCCTGGAAACGAGGGAAGCTGGGAAATTATTTCACTGCCCCAACCCCAAAGGGGAATTTCATGAGAGCAGAAAGGAAAAACTGGAGACAGAGTGAGCAATGAGCACGGTTTGCTTCGATCAGCACTTCCCCCGAAAGGGCGATTGGAATCAGCCCCTTCTCCCCATGTGCTTCGAAACTCTGCTGGGGTCTGGAAGCCCACCTGGCCGGGGCAGGACCTCTCCGTCCCCAGCAAGTGGGGGTGGGGGCGTTGCCGTTGGAGGTGCTGGTCATAGGCTGCAGAGCCCCTCGCTCACATTCTCAGCTTCTGTGACATCACACTGGGACTCGTGCCTTCTACCCTGAGCCGTGGCTTGGGCGCTCACTATCTCTTGAGCGACCACTTTGGAGATAGGGCTCCTGGAGCCAGTGTTGGCGAGGGCGCCTGTGGGCCCTGGAGGTGCCGCCATGCCGCTGTCGCGGGCTGGCCAACCTCAGGGCCTGCTTCCCTGGATGCTCCCGAGCTTGTGTGCCGCTCTCAGTGCAGTGATGCTGCTCATCCTGAGTGGACTGTTCTTTGCTTTCCCGTGAGTCTCCCACACAGGCCGGCAGGTTTCTGACAGACACAGAAAGGAAGAGAGATGATGATAACATGGAGCAGGGGAAGTGCAGAAGAGGGGTCATGGAAGGGAGGCTATTCTAGCCAGAGGGACCCGAATGTGCAAAGGCACCGAGGCATAGAGTGCTTGGTGCCCCTGGGAGCTGGTGGTGGTGGGTCGTGTTGGGTGACATCTGGTGGAGCTTCTATGGATCTGTCACTAGCCTGGATATTTATGGCAGGCTTGAAGGTCTGTGAGTCCTGAGCAGGTGGACTGAGTCCTGGGGGGAGCTCAGGGCCTCCCGCCGATCAGGGCTGAGTCCTGCTCTGGTCTCAGTTGCAGATGGCTGGTGCAGAACGGCGAGTGGGTCTATCCCGTCATCTTGGGCCCCCTCTTCGTGCTCACCTTCTGCTGTCTCATCGCCCTCAATGGGTCAGACCCTGGCACCCTACATCAAGGTGAGTTCTCGGCCCCTGGAAGAAGGAGGTAGCAGCCGAAAGGCTCCTGCCTGCAAGCATGATTCCTAACGTGCTCCCCACTCCCCTCCCGGGCCTCAAGACCCCTTCTCCCACCTCCTCATCTGCTTGGGCCCTACTTCTTTGCTTCCTGACCCAATCCGCCAAGATGTGGAAAAGAGAATTCTGGAGGTTTCCAGTTACCCTGGAGGGGAGGGCGGGGCAGGCCAGGGAGAGAAGCCAGGTATTGACAACCACTCAGTTCTCGTCTTCCTTCCCACTGCACACTCTCCTGAAAGCATCAGTCCCAGTTGTGAAGGCCTGCGTCCTCACAGAGCTCCTCTGGCTGCAAATTACCTTCCCTTGGGCTGCCAGCGTCTCCCAGTTCTGTCAGCCAGCCGAGTGGGGACCGGGGATTCCCATGCCCACCTCCTCCCCACCCTTCCTGGAGCCCTGTGATGCTGCGGGGCTGCCCCCACCCCTGCCAGCAGCAGAGTGACGGAAGGGCTCCTGCTGCTGCCCAATCCTCTTCCCACGCCAGGCTCCAACGAACTGGACCCCATGATGATGCCTGTGGTGTGGGTGAACCACAGGGCCTTCCACCTGCAGTGGTGCCCAAAGTGCCGCTTCCACCGCCCGCCCCGGACCCACCACTGCCCCCGGTGCAACATTTGTGTGGAGGTGAGCACCCCTCTCATCTGCCCCCCTGCCCTCTCCCACCCCTGCCCTGAACTCGGCTTGGGCCCAGAGGCCCATTGACTCCGGGTGGCCGTGGCAGGCGTGAAAACACTACCAGGACTACAAAAGGCCAACGGTGGCTGTAACTCCCAGCCACTCTCGGTCACTCATGCAGGTCACTGCGTCTGTGCCTGCTGCTGTCCTGGGAGGCTGGCCCTTGCCCACTCAGGTGCTGACAGGCACAGGTGCATCCACATCTATGCTTGGCCTGGTCAGGCCAGGGGGAGGAAAGGCACCCGTGTCCTACCCCAGGCCTCACTGACACTAGATGCCCAGGGGGCCTATGGCGGGCTGCAGATCTGGCCTGGGGAGATTCACCTGTCCTCTTCCGGGGCTCCAGGCCCGACAATCTTCTGGATTCTGAGAGCTTGTCTCTCCTGTGTATAGCCTGCCAAGGTTTACAAATGTGCTGTCTTCTCTCCTGCTTACAACCCTGAGAGGATGGAGGGTGCGGGGGGCTGTGTCATTCTTACTCTCATTCAGTGGATGTCAAAACAGAGGTCCTGCTGAGAGTACAGCAGGAAGTGTCCCACAGAAGGCTAGGTGCACCTTGTCTCTAGAGGCCTCGTGACAAGTGATCTTGAACCACAGAGCCCCAAAGTGCTCTCACCACAGAAACGCCAGCGATAGTGACATTTTGGCTCAGGTTTAGGGGCGTTGGAGGCTGGGCCACGGTCAGGATCTGGAGGGCGCCCCCTCTCACTCTCGCCCAGGACTTTGACCACCACAGCAGGTGGGTGAATAACTGTGTCGGGCACCGCAATTACCGGCTTTACCTGCTGCTGGTCCTGTCCCTGTGTCTATACACTCTCGCCGTGCTGGTCGCCTGTGTGACGGTCCTGGTGCGCACGACCCACCTGCCCTACGGTCTGGACAAGATCATCACGTATCCACCAGGCTGTGGGGCCCACTTTGGGGGCGATGAGGAGGGCTGGGAGAGCCTTGGGGTGGGGGCAGGGGGCAGGGTTCAAGGCGCGGCTCCTTATCTCCAGGGCAGCATCGGGGTGGCTGTACCCGCCGCCGGCTTCCTGGTGCCTCTCTTCGTGCTGCTGCTCATCAAGGCCTGGTCGGTTAGCAAGGCTGAGCGCTCCCATGAGGGCAAGGTATGTGGGCCCGGGGGAGCCACGACACCGGGCTGTGGGCGGTCCCCTTGTCCCTCCCAGACCTCCGCACCTTCCACTCTTCCTCCACCGCCCTGGTCCTCATGGCCTGCCCTCCCTCGAAGGTGCCTCCTTAGCCCTTCAGACCCTGATTCAGCTCCTGTGGTGCCTCCACTGGGGCTCGGTGTCACTCTCCCGACTGGGTGCCCTGCGTCCAGGGCCTCCTGTGTGCCAGCTCGCGCATGCAGTATTTTGAGCGCTGTGCGCAGTGGTGAGTGAGGCTCCACCTGTGCTGGTGGTGATGAGGAGCCTGAAGTCAGAATAACTCCCGCCAGGGGCTGGTGAACACTGAGAGATCGGCCTGACCGCTCTGTGCAGCACAGACTCAGAGAGGGAACGGAGAGTTCAGAGAGGACCGCGGTGGAGAGGTTTTGGGTGGGTGAGGGCAGAGGGGAGGGCATTGCAGGTGAGGGGCACAGCTTACCAAAAGGCAGGGATGCCCAAAAGTGTGCGGACTGTTGACGAGATGGCGACGAGACAGTTGTAAATGGAGCAGAAAATGGATTGGAAATGGAAGTGGCCTCTTTGGCACTGGCCGGACGGAAAAGGCTCGGAACGTCAGGTGGAGAAATTGAGTCTTGGGACCAGGAACCTGGTCGCCACGGCAGGACTCCTTTTTTTTTTTTTTGACATACAGTAAAATTCACCTTTTTTAAGCACCCGATTTCTATGAGTGTGGGCAAGCACAGACAGTCCTGTAACCACGACCATAATTAAAATTCAGAACAGTTCCGTCAGCCCCCAAATTCTCGGATGGTCTTTTGCAGTCAATATGTCCCCATACCTGCTGCCCCTGGCAACCACTGAGTTGTACTATCCCCATAGTGTTTCTCTTTCCCGATCCTCCTGTAAATGGAATTCACAGACTTTTGAGTCTGCTGTGTTTCACGTAGCAAAATTTATTCAAGATTCATCCGTGGTGTTGCCTATATGAGGAGGTTCTTCCTTCTCTTGTTGTGTACTATTCCATCCTATGGATATACCTATGCATGCCTTGTTGATCCTTTCGCCAATTGAAGGATATTTTGGTGGTTTCCAGTTTTTGGTGATCATGAAATGTGGTTATAAACATTCGTGTCCAGGCCCCTGGACATGTTTCCACTTCTTTGTTGATAAATCCTTAAAGGTGGCCTTGCTGGGTTGTATGGTACCGGAATGTTTCCCTTTGTAAGCCACTGCCCAGTTGTCTTCCAAAATGCCTGTACCATTTGGCATTCCCACAAGCAACGTAGGAGAATTCCAGTCGTTTCTCCATTTTCACTGTCATTTGGCGTCGTCAGGTCTTCTGTGTTTTGTTTCCTTACTTTCGTCTAACAAATGTGTGGTGCTATCTCGTTGTGGTTGTGTTTGCGTGTTCCTAATGACTGATGATGCTGAGCATCTTCTCGTGTTCTTGTTTGCTGACTGTCTATCTGTGATTTGTGTCTGTTCCAATCTTTTGCCCATTCAGAAAAATTGTGTTGTTTTCTTCTTATTGAGTTTTAAGAGTTCTGTCTGTATCCTGGACTCAGATATGTGTTTTGCAAATATTTTTTCGCAGACTGTGGTTTCTCATGTCATTTTCTTTACAGCGTCTTTCAAAGATCAGAAGTTTTCGACTTGGTGAAGTGCCATATCAGCTTTTCTTTTAAGGATTGTGTCTTTGGTGTTGTAATGAAACAATCGTTGCCTAACCAGACATCCCCAAGATATTCTCATATGTTTTCTTCAAGAAGTTTTATAGTTGTAGATTTTCTGGTAGGCCTCTGAATCATTTCAGCTTAAATTTTGTATCTGATGCAAGATATGAGTTGAGATTTATTTTTTTTGCGTATCGGTTGTGCCACCACCGTTTGCTGAAAACACCATCCTTTTCCCATGGAGTTGCCTTTGCACATTTGTCAAAAATCAATTGACTCTATAGGTTCGGGTGTATTTCTGAACCCTCTCTTTGGCCGATGCCACACTGGCTTCATTAGTAACTTTCTCTTAAGTCTCGAAGTCACTCAATATGAGGCCTCTAACTTTTTCCTTCTTTTTCAAAGTTCCTTTGGCTGTCCTAGTTCCTTTGATTGTCTTTATAATTTTTAGAATCAATTTGTGAATTTCTATAAAAATGTTTGCTGAGGTTTTCATTTGGATTGCATGGAACCCATACACCAATTTGGAAATTGAACATTTTCACAACATTGAGTTTTGAATCCATGAACACGGGATTCCTCTCCATTTATTTAGGTCATCCCTGACTTCTTTCATGAGTGTTTTTGCAGTTTTTAGTATAGATCTTGCATACATTGTGTTGAATTTTTTCGGAGTACTTCACGGGTTTTTGTGTTACTCTAAAGTTTTTCAAATTTCTTTTCCATTTGTTTATTATTATAAGAAACTACAAAGGAATTTTCTCTATCGGACTGGGATCTTGCAGTTTTGCTAGAGTCTCTTATGAGCTCTCAAAGCTTTCTTGTTGATCCCACATAGAAAAACATGTCATCTGTGGGTTAGAGCAGTTTCATTTCTTCCTTTCCGATAAGCATGTCTTTATTTTTTCCTTTTCTGACAACAATGTCTTGGACCTCTGGTCCGGTGTTGAGTTGGAGGGGTCAAAGTGAACATCCTTGCCGTGGGCTTCCTTTCGCAGGACTGTGGCCTGACTCGAAGCGGTTTTAGAAAGACTGTAGAGGGCCCCGTTGGTGAGGGGGGGCCTGGTGACATTGAGACAGCTGAAAGGACGGAGGAATCCTCTCTGCCCTCCGCCTCTCATCCTTCCAGTCACCACTCCATCACTCCATCCACCCATATGTGTTTGCCAGCTCACCTGTGCCTCCTCTGCTCAGCCCTTACTCACCAGCCCCCTGTGGTCTGCCTGTCTTCCCTCTCCAGATTCAGTCCATCATTTCAGCCTCTCTTGGGCAGCACTGTCCCTTCGCACATCCTGTGCTTCTTCAGTCCTAGGTCAGGCCAGAGGCCTGCCGTCCCTCCACTGCTCAGAATGGGGGTCTCCCATCCAGGCTCTCCAGCCTTGAGAAACGGAAATGTGGTCTTCTCTTTGACATTCACCAGGCACTCTTCCCCATCACCTGCAGAACCCGCTCAGGTGTTCTTCACACACCTCAACTTCATTTCCTTCCTACCTGCCTCCCCTGACCACCACTTCTGCTGGGCCGCTTGCTTAGTGGTTGATATAGCAAGGGCTCTGGAGCCAGTGCACATAAACTGAAATCACGGCTGCACAGCATAGCAGCAGGGAGAGTTTGGGCATGTGACTTATTCACCTGGTGCCTCAATTTCCCCATCTGTAAAAGGAGGTCGCGTGGGTTACTTTGGGTAAGACACGTAGCACAGCGGCTGATATAAGTAAGTGTCCTATACGTCGTTATTGTTACTGTTCCTTCCCATCATCATTTACACATGTTCACGTCTCTCTCATCTGAAAAACAAAGCAAACCTCCAATCACATCACCGTCCTCCGCTCCACATGTCCTACTCTCCCCTCAGCACAGACGTAGTTCCTGAGAGGGTTGTCTGTGCTCATGAGTGCCATTCTGCACCTTCCTCAGCCCACTTCAGTCTCTGTCCTCACTGTCACGCTGATTCTGCGCCCTCCAGGTGGCCAAAGCCAGTGTGCGGTCCTCAGACGGATGTTTCCAGGCTGCACTCAGCCCCACCTGAGGCTGAGGGCACCTGCCATGGCCGTCCCCGGCCCCTCAGGCCCGGCTCCCCCTGCTTTCCTGGCTGCTGCTCCTCTGCCTGCACCCTGGAGTCTTGGCCTGGTTTGCCTGCTCTTCGCTCTCATCCCCTCTCTCTGCTGCTCTCCCTGCCCAGCTGCCCTCCCCACCCTGCAGGCTCCAGTTGGCTCTATTGTTTGTGGGGTGTCCTCAGTCCCCACTGATGTGCCTGGAAGGTTGTTGAGGCCCCAAATATTTATGAGCTAACGAGCGAAACTGCAGACAAAGGAATGCATAAGGCTCTGGGATAGAAGGGGAGGGAGAGAGAGAGAGAGAGAAGCCTGGAGCTCTAAACCCTGGGGAAGAAGGCTCCAGAGCAGAGGCCGCAGGGAGGTGGCAGGAGATGGGGCAACGAGATGCCCACTTTGGTTTTGGCCCTGCGGACCGTGAGGACATTTGAGACTCACAGTTGGAGCACGAGACCCGGGTCTGGAGCCAGCGAGAGAGGACAGTGTGGGAGCTCGGAGCTGTGGGTTCCAGTCACGGCTGGTTGGTCCCCTGTGGGAAGGGGAAGGAGCGCCAGCTCTTAGTCAGTCCTCGTGAATTCATCCAACAGTTATCACTCCTTTAAGCACTGAGCAAGCAACGTTTTCCTGTGCTGCATATACGTCTCAGACGTCAAAATGGATTTCTCTACATTTGAAATTTTGGTAGTAAATTTCCCCTAACTGTGTTCACCATTTAGTGTCCCTTAAATGCTTTCAACACCTTCAAGAAGGCAGGACTCAAACTCTCACAGTGGTTAGTGTTGCTATATGGCAACCATGGGAATTTCTGGAGCCCTCTTGACTTTTCCTGCCCCAGGACTAAGCTGTCCTGCATGGAGTCCTGGCTCCTTTTGGAGCAGAATAGTTCTGAAAATCAACGTCTTTGTGACAGGGGCAGGGGTCAAGAAGAGCTGGCGGTGAGCAGAGGTGCTCCTGGGCCACTTTTGGTCGTAACAGACATTTTGTAGCCGGGGCTCTTGTATTCGGGGTGAGACTGCCTGCCCTGAGGAGGAGGTCGGAGCTAGCCCGATGGGTGGAGGGCAGGGAGGAGCAGAGCCTGGTCAGCAGTGTCCAGGCAAGGACTTGACCTTTGGGCCTCACCTTTCCTGCACTGGGTGCTCAGGACGTGGCGCCCAGATGTCCAGGGCCACGTGAGTGTGGTTAGGGAAGTATGATTGGGCCCCAACCAACTGCCCTTCCAGAGAGTGAAATTCAGTGAAGGCACAGTGTAGAAAAACTGAGAGCTGGGAAAGCAGAGAAGGGGCAGCAGGCGGGTGGACGTGTCTTTGGAGCAGTTTCGTAGCAAACGGTCGATGTGATAGGGTGTTTGGAAAGAGGCGGCAGGAGGATGTGTGTGGCCAAAGGAGGCAGAGAGGGAAGGATGCTGCCAAGGGGGTGCCGGGTGAGGGGAGGATCCCTGAGACGGCAGGAGACTGGGTGCAGGGCCAGGGGTGGCCTGGAGAGAGCTACTCGGAGGTGGGTTGGGGGAGGCCTTGGCTGACACTCGCGGCTTCTATCCCTTGGGGTCTTGCTGCAGCCCTGGGCTGAGCTGACGGGCTCAGGGTGGGGCGTGGTGGTGGCCGTCCCAGTCCTGCTGGATCTGAGCTCTTCTTCCTCCCCTTGCCCCCTCCAGTACCAATACCTGTATGTAAAGAACCCTTTCGACCTTGGCTGTGCCAGAAACTGGTGTTTCACAATTTTTGCGCCACGAGGACCCAAGTGAGTTGGAACAGCAGAGGCCCAAGTGGTGACCCTGGGGCTGGTGGGGTGAAGCTGGGATTCTCATCCAAGAAATGGGGCAGAGGGCCCGGCAGCCTGGATGCGACGGGCCCCAGCTCCCTGCATGGACGAGCTGGTGCTTTGTGCTCCCCAAGCTGAGGGGGACCAGGCCTGGAGGGTTGCAACCCCTTCCATCTGGCTTGTGCTCCCCAGGTACATGGCCGAAGCCGTTGGGCTACAGAGAGCGGTGGGGCCTGACTGGGTGCCCATGCAGACCCTGCACTGCTCGACAGGCCCCTCGGGCCCAGTCTTCCAGCCGTCCCCGGGCCAGGGGCTCGCCCCCACGCCCAAACTCAGGGTCTCTACACACCGGGACGGGCTCCCCCAGGGAGTCGAGATCCTGCAGATCTCCAGGAGGTGAGGTGTCTGTGTGTTTGTGTGCGGGTGTGTGTGTGTGTGTGTGTGTGTGCATGTACAAGTGCAGTTGCCTGTGCCTGTGGTGTTGGGAATGGGCATCTCTAGATTGTGCGGATGTGGGGGGAAGCTCCTGCATGGTGCAGTGGCCCTGAAGCTGGAGCACTGAGAGCTCGAGGGAGGGGGCTTGTAGTCCCCAGGAGCGCTGGATGTAGAGTCACAGGCCTCCAGAATATACCGGGGGATCCTGGAGACACAAAGGGAAAAGACCACACCACAACCTTGCTGGTTGGCCTTGGCCCAGTCACTTCCCTTTCCTGGGTCTCAGTGTCCAGATTAGGACTGAAGGGGGTCCAGTGGTTTCTAATTTGGGGGTACCGATTCCTTTTTTTAAAGGCAACTTTGAATCTGGAGCTGAGTGTATGAACCGTGTGGAAGTGGACCATCAGGAATGAAGTGGGGGTAGGTAATTCACAAGCCCCCGCCCACGGGCCCCTGCAGTGGCATTCTGTGGTGTCAGCCCACACCCATGCTCTGTGTGTGGGGGGTGGCAGCTTGGACAGCGTCTTCCTCCCCAGCTGGTGGGCCATGCGCTGTAGGGTGGGCCCTTGGGGACAGCCCCCATCCTCCTCTCTGCGTTTAGGTCCACGCCGGCTGGCCCAGTGCTGCCCCTGCTGCATGAGGCTGCATATCAGCCTTGGTCTGCTCTCGCGCCTTTGCCCCTGGAGATGCCAGGAGCCTCGACACCTGAACCTCACTCCTCTATCCCGCGTGGAGGCTCTCCATGCCCTGTCCCTGCCTACTCCCCTGGCGGGAGTGCCTGGATCCCCAGAAAGCCCATTAAATAGCCTTTGCCTGCCTCCTCCAACTGCCTTGGGGCTTTGTCTGTCCCAGTTTCCCTGGAGCTGGGGGACATGGGGCATTCTGGGGGCTGAGACAAAGACCCTGGGAGGAGGGACCAAGATCCAATACTGGCTGGCTTTGTGACCTTGGGCAAGACACACAACATTTCTGTCATCCTTAAAACGGGGCAACCCTAACAACCACAGCAGAGCTGGAGATGATGGAAGAGAAAACCCAGCAGTGCCTGGATGTCCTCCCCGGAAAGTCCTGGCCTCCACCCTGCAGCTCCCCTGTCTGCCTGAAGAGGGCGCGAGCTGCCCAGGAATGCACCCAGAGTGGCCTGCTCTGGCAGTGCAGCATAGGAGCCTCCTGGGTAGCTTGGGGCTGGCCCTCAGGCGAGGAGGGGGCCCTCCCGCGGCCTCATCCCTGGGAGGTGGAGTGCGCGTGTTGCCCATCACAGTCCACCCTGCATCTTTGCTCCGAGCCATTCTCACCCTGGTCACTCCCTCCTGTTGAGGAGTCAGATGCTGTTTCACGTCCTGTCCTTGTCGGGGTACCCTAGGCTCTGTGCCTCCGCTGGCCTTGGGGGGCAGGGAGAGGGCAGTACATCAAACTGTGGCTCCTCTAGTGGCCAGCGTGTGACCCTGCTTATGGGAAATAACGGCACCTTCCTGGAAGGTAGTCAGTGGATGAAATGAGGTGGTTCATGCAAAGACGAGGCACACAGTAGGGACACACTGAAAGCAGCCAGTATGATGATGATCATTTTCTCCATCACACAGCTAACAGACCATCCAGTTTTCCTCCAAGGGCCACCTTCTCAGAATTCCAGGGCCCCAGAGCACCGACTCAGAATCTCCGGGTGGGGGAGGGCGGGAATCGGAATCTGAGTTTTCGTCAGGTGCCCGTGTGATCCTGCCACCCTGGAGTTTCAGAACTGCCTCCTCAGGAGAGGAGGACGGGCACCACCACACTGCTTCCTGGCATCCTGTGCCCAGGGGAAATCGGGAGCAGAGGAGGGTAAGAAGGAACGATGTCGCCAGAGGGCCAGATCAACACCCCAGGGCCCGTGGAGCTGTGTGTGTTGTGTGTGCATGCCCGTGCTTGTGTGTTGGGGCAGGAGCTCATCCTTGGGGAGTGTCAGCCCCACCTGGGGATGTGGGTGACCTCTGTGCAGGACGTGGCTCCAGGTCTCTACACCATGAGACCCCTACAGGCTGCCCCTCCCTCCTCTCCCAGCCTGACCGTGACGGACTTGGACCCCTCTGTGTCTGGCCCAGCCTCACCCATGCCTCTTGTTCTGGATCTCTGGGCTCAACCCCAGGGACTCCAGCTCTCCCATGTCCCCTTTGCTTTGGAGTCAGGGTCTCCCAGGTCTGAAGCTCCCTTGGGGTGCAAGCATTTTCTCAGCTCTCATCCTGCTGACCTCAGGGTTGACCCTGGGTTCTGGGGAGGGCTGTAGGATATTCCTGACATACAGAAAGGCAGCCTAATCGTGGCCTTCTTTAAATGGCTTCTGTTGCCACATTGAAACTTCTTGGGGCCTGCATTTCTGAGTCCTGCTAAAGCAGCCTCATCTGTCTGGGAAGCCCGAAGTCCATGGGCGCATGAGAGAGACGGAGGCCACGAGACCTTTTGCACCCCCGACCCCAGGTGTATGTGTGGTGCCCAAATCTGTGTGGGCCTCCTGTGTGTGTGTGTTCCGAGGCACAGCACAGCCCAGGCTGCCCACCACTGAGAAGAGGTGCTCAGGCCCACTCCCAAACGGTGTCCTGGGGGTGTCTGTGCCTGAGCTTCACGGGAGGAGGATCCAGGACCCTGGGACAAGGCCGGGAGGTTGATGTTCATGAAAGGGCTGGCTGTAGGAGTCTCAGCTGCTGGAGGCCATGCTCTGCAGGAGGCTGAGAAGCCCAGGGTCCCCCAGGGTCTGGGACCCCTAGTCCCGCCCTACCCTGCTGCCCGCCCCTCCACTGCCCTGCCTGGTTCAGAGCCGGGTGCCTGGTCATCAGGATGGCATCGACTGCTTCCCTGCCTCCTGCTATAACGGGGACTCACCCAGCCTCAGGCCAGGCCTTCCAAGTCCTCAGCCACGTGTCAGTCATGTCCCCCAACAGCCTGGGTCTCAGTTTTCCCACTGGGCAAGGACATAACTTTCCTCCGACGCTGATAGGTGGCCATGACCCCTCCTGCTCTGGGATGTTGATTCTGGCTCTTTGTGGTCCCTCCCACCAGAGATTTCTAGGATTTCTTTAGGAAAGCCCCTTCATTCAGCCTCGTCCGCCCCTCGAGGGCTAAGAGGGCCCTAGCCCACCCCTTCCTCTCACTCCCCCACACCCTCTCCGCTGAGCGCTGCCCCCACCCCCAGAGACTCTCTCCTGCCAGGCTGGAGGCCTCAGCCGAGCTGCCCCCACCTTCCCTTTCCAGCTCCTCCCCATTCATGCTGAACCTGCCTTGATTCCCACACACCCGCCTCGAGGTCCCTCGCCCACTGATGGGGGAGAGGTGTTCTCAAGTAAGCCAGGGGGCAGCTACCGTTTTCCTAGGAGGAAATTTTAGGATTTTTCCACTTCTGAAGGATGGTGCTTGTTCCATAGTTGTGAGCTAGTCATAGCTAATACATGAAATTTCCTTCTGAAAGTGACACTTCAGTCATGGCCCTCATAAGTGATATGATTTATGCAATTAGGAAAGAGGACTCATTCTGATGGAAACTTTGAAAATAATCATTTGCCATGATAAGTAAAGGGACTCAATAAAGGCACGTTGTGTGTCTAACCAGCCTCCAGGGTATCTAGTTTTACTAATTTTTCAATTCTTTTATTGAGTTCATAATGCTTTATAACATTGTGTGATTCCGAGCGTCCGTTACTATGTATCACTTTCTGTATACACTTCACCGTGCTCACTACCACTACTCCAATTTTCATCTGTCACCGTCTACATGTGCCCTTCTACCCCTTTTGTTCCCTTCCAGCCCCCTTCCCCTCTGGTCACCACTAATGTGTTCTTTTTGTCCATGTGTTTGTTCATCTTCCACAGATGAGTGAAATCATCCAATATTTGTCTTTCTCTGTGTGTCTTATTTCCCTTACCATCATACCCTGAAGGTCCATCCATGTTGTTGCAAATGGGATGATTGTCTCTTTTATGCGGCTGAGTCGTAGTCCGTTGTATATACACAGCTCATTCTCTTCATCCATTCATCTTTAGAAGGGTACTTGGGTCGCTTCACGTCGTCCCTCTTGTGAGTAACGCTGTAATGAACATCAGGGTGCCTAAATATCTTTGGAATGTTGATTTCATGTTCTTTGGATAAACACCCTGTAGTGGGAATGCTGGGTGATATGGTATTTCTATTTTTAATTTTTTGAGAAATCTTCATGCTCTTTTCCATAGTGGCTGCACCAGTTTGTAATCCCAGCAGCAGTGTATGAGGATTCCCTTTTCTCCACATCCTCTCCAACATGTATTGTTTCTTGTCTTGGTGATTATAGCCTTTTGGACCAGGGTACGGTGATATCTGATTGTAGTTTGATTTGTATTTCTGTCCTAATTAGTGATGTTGAACATCTTTTCCTGTCTGTTGGTCATCTGTGTATCTTCCTTGAAAAATGTTCAAATCCTCTGCCCAATTTTTGATCAGGTTTCATGTTGTGTTTTTGATGGCTTGTACGTATTCTTCATATATTTTGGAGACTAAACTCTTGTCAGATATATGATTTACAAATGTTTTCTCCCAGTTGTCAGGTCATCTTTTCATTTTGCTCATGGTTTCCTTTGCCTTGCAGAGACTTTTAGTCTGATGTAGTCCCGTTTGTTAATTTTTCCCTTTGTTTCCCTTGCTTGAGTAGACATGGTATTCCAAAAGATACTGTGAAGACCAGTGTCAAAGAGTCTACTGCTTATATTTTCTTCTGGCAGTTTTATGGTTTCATGTCTTACATTCGAGTCTTTCACTCACTTGGAGTTAATTGTTTTTCATCTTATTCCTAGGTATTTTATTCTTTTAATTTCAATTGTATTCTTAATTTCTCTTTCTGCTACTTCATTGATAGTATATAGAAATGCAACTGATTTTTGTATGCTGATTTTGTTTCCTGCCACTTTACCGTATTCATTTATTATTTCTAAAACTTTTTTGGTGGATTCTTTAGGGTTTTCTATAAGTGAAATCATGTCATCTGCAAATAGTGACAGTTTCACTTCTTCCTTTCCAACTTCACTTCCTTCCTTCCTTTCCTTTCCTTTTATTTCTTGTTCTTGCCTGATTGCTCTGGCTGAGACTTCCAATACTATATTAAATAAGGGTGATGACAGTGGGCATCCTTGTCTGGTTCCTGTTCTCACAGGGATAGTTTTCAGTTTTTCTCCATTGAGAATGACGTTAGCTGTGAGTTTGACATGTATGGCCTTTATTCTGATGAGTACTTTCCTTCTATCCACGTTTCGTTCAGAGTTTTTATCATCAACGGATGCTGTATCTTGTCAAATGCTTTCTCTGCATCATAGAGATGATCATGTGATTTTTATCCTTCACTTTGATAATGTGATGTATCACGTTGATTGATTTGCAGATGTTGAGCCGTACTGCATCCCTGGAATATATCCCACTTGATCATGCGGTATGACTTTTTGAATGTATTGTTGTATTTGGATTACTAGTATTATGTTGAGGATTTTTGCATGGATGTTCATCAGTGATACTGGCTTTTCATTTTCTTTCTTTTGTGTTGTCCTTGTCTGGTTTCGGTATCAGGGTAATGTTGGCGTCATAGAATGAGATAGGAAGCTCCTCTTCCTCTTCAATTTTTCGGAAGAGTTTGAGAAAGATAGATATTAAGTCTTCTTTGAGTGTTTGGGAGAATTCACTAGGGAAGCCGTCCGGTCCTGCACTTTTCTTTTTGTGGAGGTTTTTGATGACTGTTTTGCTCTCCTTCCTCGTGTTGGTCTACTCCAATCCTCTAATTTTTCTTGATTCACTTTTGGAAGGTTGTAAGAGTCTAAGAATCGACCCATTTCTTCTAGATTATCCAAGTTTTGGCATATAGCTTTTCATAGTACCCTCTTATAATCTTTTGTATTTCCGAGGTGTCCGTGGTAATTTGTCCTCTTTCCATTCTGATTTTTTTTATTTGAGCCTTCTCTGCTTTTTTCTTGGTGAGTCTATTTAGAGGTTTGTGAATTTTGTTTATCTTTTCAAAGAACCAGCTCTGGATTTCATTGATTTTTTTTCTACTGTTTTTTAGTCTATATTTCATTTATTTCTGCTCTGAATTTCTTATTTCATTCCTTCTGCTGATTTTGGGCCTGGTTCTTCTTTTTCCGATTCCTTTAGGTGCTCTGTCAGATGGTGTATTTGAGATTTTTCTTGTTTGTTGAGGTAGGGCTATATTGCTATAATCTTCCCTCTTACAACTACTTTTGCTGTATCCTATACATTTTTTTAAAGATTTTTATTCTTTTCCTTTTTCTCCCCAAAAGCCTGCCGGAACATAGTTGTATATTCTTTGTTGTCGGTCCCTCTGGTTGTGGCATGTGGGATGCTGGCTCAACGTGGCTTGATGAGCAGTGCCATGTCCGCGCCCAGGAGTCAAACCAACGAGACACTGGGCCACCTGCAGTGGAGCACACAAACTTAACCACTCGGCGACAGGGCCAGCCCCTGTATCCTATAAATTTTGCAAGTCATGTTTTATTTTCATTTGTCTCCAGGTATTTTTTTATTTCTCCTTTGATTTTTTCATTGACCCAATCCTTGTTCAGTAGCGTTTTGTTTAGTCTCCACATATTTGTGTCTCTTCTGATTTTCTGCCTGTAGTTGATTTCTGGTTTCAGGCTGTTGTGATCAGAAAAGGTGCTTGGTATTATTTCAGTCTTCTGACATTTGTTGAGTCTTGTTTGCAGCCTAATGTGTGATAAGTCCTGGAGAATGGTCCATGTGCATTTAAAATAATGTGTGTTCTGTGGTTTTGGATGGAATGTTCTGTGTGCATCTACTACTCCACCTGGTCTGTAGTGTTGTTGAACAGCACTGCTTCCCTGTTGTTCTTCTGTTTGGATGACCTCTCCATTGCTATAGTCATGTTGAAGCCCCCTCTTGTTTATTGTGTTGCTGTCTCTTTCTCCTTTCATTTCTGTTAATAATTGCTTTTTATGTTTAGGTACTGCTATGTTGAGTGCATAGCTATTTACAAGTGTTATATCCTCTTCTTGGGTTTTTCCCTTTATCATTATGTGGTGACCTGCTTTGTCTCTTGGGACCATTTTTGTTTGAAAGACTGTTTTCTCTGATATTCGTATTGTTAGCCCAACTTTCTTTCCTTGCTATTTGCACAGAGGATCATTTTCCATCTCTTGACTTTCAGTTTGTGAGTGTGGTTAGGTCTGAAGTGCCTCTCTCGTAGTTAGCACATATATGGGTCTTGTTTTTTTGTCCACTAGGCCACTCTATGCCTTTTGATTGGAGCATTTAGTCCGTTGACATTGAAAGTAGCTATTGATAAGGATGTCCTTGCCATTTTGTTACTTTTTTCTGGTTGATTTAGTAGTTCTCTGTTCCTTTCTTCTTCTCTTGCTCTCTTCTCTTGTGGTTTGCTGCCTTTTTTAGTATTACGTTTGGATTTCTGTCTCTTAATTTTCTGTTTCTGATTCTGTTGGTTCCTGGTGTGTGATGACCATGAAGTTCATAGATAACATCTTAGGCACATAGCAATCTATCAGAAGCTGGTGATCTCTCTAGTTTGACCTCTTCTAAAAACTCTACTCTTTTACTCTGCTCCTCCCACATTTCATGTTTTTGATATCATATCTAACCTCTTTTGTTGTGCATCTGTATCCATTACTCTTTTATCGTAGATATAGGTAATTTTCGTACTTTTGTCTTTTTCCCTTCTTATTATCTTCATAGGTGATTGATCTGCTACCTTGACCGTA